AGCTACTTGGGGGGCTGAGGCAGGAGACTCGCTTGAGCCCAGGAGTTGGAGGTTGCTGTGAGCTGTGATGCCATAGCACTCTACCCAGGGGGATAGCTTGAGGCTCTGTCTCAAAAAAAAAAGAAAAAAGAAAAATTGTGGTGGGTGCTTGTAGTCCCAGCTATTCAGGAGGCTGAGGTAGGAGGATCACTTGAACCCAGGAGTTTGAGGTTGCTGTGAACAAGGCTGACACCATGGCACTCTAGCCTGGGGCAACAGAGTGAGACTCTGTTTCCAAAAAAAAAAAAAAGAAAGAAAGAAAGTGGTACTCTTTCAAACATAGATATGCAAACACAGTAAACAAAAGTGCCAGGATCTGGCTCTGCTCACATCAATCTTCCAAGAAAAAGAATGAAGAATTTGTCTGTAGGCCCCAGTCAATCTGAACACACAGGGTGATCTCTTCCCTTTATCATATTTCCTGGGGTAGAAATGATAGACCAGTGTGACCTCCAATCATAATTTAATATCATTGTAAGAATTTGAATATGTCATCATTAAAACTATAATTTGATATTTAGATAAATGGAATCAAATATCTATAGTGTTGTGTTTTTGTTTTAAATCTCTTTCTAACATATGTGTTAATATTTACTTTCAGTTCCTTCAGGAATTAGTGACAACTTCAGGTGTCTCCTTTCCTTGACTTCCAGTTCATGCTGGAAGTTTACAGCAATACTTGCCAATATCTTTGCATCACAGATTGTTCCTCCTGGGACTTACAATTTGCTCAAGCTCTGTTTGTTGATGAGTCTTGTACAGACAAGTGAACGTAAAAAGGAACTAGAAGATTGCCTGGATATTTTAATTATAACAAGTGATACTCTAATAGTAGACAGGTAAATATGTGACATGAACTTTTTTTTTTTTTTTAAGAGACAGAGTCTCACTTTTTTGCCCTCAGTAGAGTACTGTGGCGTCACAGTTGACAGCAACCTCTAGCTCTTGTACTTAGGCGATTCTCTTGCCTCAGCCTCCCGATTAGCTGGGACTACAGGTGCCCAACACAACACCCGGCTATTTTTTGTTGCAGTTTGGCCTGGACCAGGTTTGAACCCACCACCCTCAGTATATGGGGCTGGCGCCTTACTCACTGAGTCACAGGCGCCGCCCTTTTGTGTGTGTGTGTGTTAAGCAGACCCGGGCAGGGTTAAAACCCCCTACCCATCATATACAAGACCAGCACTTTAACTGAGCTACAGGTGCCCAACTGACATGAATTTTTTTAAATATTAATTGGTCACAGGTTTGTATAAATTTTTTCAATGAGCATTATTATAAGAGGAATATTTAGGATTTATCTGAATTAGTATATATAATTATTCTAGTCACTTTTATCAATAATGTGGTAAACTTTTGAAACATAAGTAGATAAATGACGTATTTGCTTTTAATATTTTGAGAGTGTACCACTCAAAGTTTGAACCTTTTCCCTCACTCATTCCTTTTTTTTTTTTTTTTTTTTGAGACAGAGCCTCAAGCTATCCCCCTGGGTAGAGTGCCATGGCATCACAGCTCACAGCAACCTCTAATTCCTGAGCTCAAGCGAGTCTCCTGCCTCTGCCTCCCAAGTAGCTGGGAACACAGGCGCCCGCCACAGCGCCAGCCATTTTTTGGTTGCAGCCATCATTGTTGTTTGGCAGGCCCGGGCTGGGGATTCGAACCCGCCACCTTAGGTGTATGTGGCTGGTGCCTTAGCCGATTGAGCCACAGGTGCTGAGCCCCCTCACTCATTCCTTTACAGATAATGTAGTAAATGCATCCTTCCCAGCCTTCCCACCCATTCCCTAGCTCTACCTTTGCTTTCATTTTTTAGTAATCTTCCCCCAAGGAGCCAATAAGCCATTTTTAATTTTTCTCTAAGATTCCATTCAATAATATTGATTCACTGTCCCCAACAGTGCCAAAATTACTGTTTCGGTGGTACCTCATTCCTAACTTTGGAATAAGCCAATACTCAGAGTTTTGTGGCTCCCCATTAGCAAGTACCCTTTTCTTAAAAAGTTACATGAATGTTCACAAAGTTTAGAATAAGCTCTTTTTAAAATATTTTGTATGTAATTCTAAAGCAAAAAAAAAATTTATAAAGTGAATTTAAAATAGAAAAATGCAAATTGCCATCATATTAATTATGCAAATGATATTTTGCTAAAATTAAATCGCCACTTGTAATGATCCAAAATTCTATAGATTTCACCACTTTATTTTCTACTCATGAAAGCATTTAGTTCCCTCACATACTCACCATCTCTGGCTATTTTCAAACTTTTAAATTTTATAATCTGATAGGTAGAAAATAGTATTTTATTTTTATTTGCATTTAACTGGAAATAACGTTCAGCATCATTTAAATCTTACTGAAAAATTACATTATTTTTTATAAACCTCCTAATTTTGACCATTGTTTATTTTTCTAAGTTGTTAATCTACTTCTTACTAATTTGTGATGGCTGTTGTAAATTAAGGCCTCTGTCTCTTTTCCTGTTTGTCATTAACCATTTGACTTTTCTTATGATATTTGGGTCTATGTGACAGATTTAATTTTGCTTGTCTTTAAGTAAAATTTGTTTATAGTATAATAATCTTATCTTATTATTGCCATTAAAATCAATTAATGAATTTTAACAAGTACACTCCTATACCTGCTACCACAGTGAGCTATAGAACATTTTTATCACCTCAGAAATTTCCCTCATTCCCTCTTCCAGTCAGTTCCTGTCTCCACAGGGGATTTCTTTAACCATAGATTAATTTCCTATAGTTAAACTTCATAAAGTGGAATCATACAGTGCATCCTCCTTGGGGTCTAGTCTCTCGTTTAACAAAAAGTTTTTGAGATTGATCCAGTTTTATGCATCAGTAATTCATCATTTTTATTGATGAGTAGTATTCTCTTATACTACTGAATCTGAATCTGAATATACCACAGTTGATGAATTTCCATTCTCCTAGTAGTGGATGTTGAGTTTTGCATGTTTTGACTATTATAAAGCTACTGTAAACATTCTTGTACAAGTCTTTTTGTGGAAATTTTATTTTCATTATCTTGGGTAATACCTGGGAGTGGGACTGATTGTTCATAAAATAGATGAACATGTAGTACAGTATTTAACTTTACAAGAAATTGATAGTTTTCCAAGGTGATTGTACATTCCAGCCAACAATATGAGAGTTCTACTTGTTCCAAATCTTATCAAAATTTGGTTTTGTCAATCTTTTTCATTTTAGCCATTCTAGTGACTATGAAATGGCATCTCATGATTCTAATTTGCACATCTCTGATCACTACTGATTTGAGCTCTTTTTCATGTGCTCATTGGCCGTTCATACATCGCCTTTTATGAAGTATCTGTCTTCAAGTTCTTTGCTTACCTTTTAGTTGGGTTGTTCTTGATGCATGGCCTTTATATATATATATAAAATTATTATTACACACATATATAATTTTTCTCCCAGTTTAAATCTTATTCTTTTTATATTTTGTTAATGGTATCTCTGATGAGCAGACTGTTTAGTTTTAATAAGTTCTATTTATTATTTTCTTAAATACTTAGTGTTTTCTGTGTTCTGTTTAAGAAATATTTATCTATACTCAGGTCAGGAAGATTTTATTTTATATTTTTATATTTTCTTTTGATAGTTTTAGTTTGCTATTTATTTAGTTGTATGGAGGAGGCCTTGCTACATTTCCTAAGCTGTCAACTCCTGGGCTTGAACAATCTTCCTGACTCAGCCTCTAGAGTAGCTAGGACTATAGGCATATGCTACTATGCCTGGCAAGAAGCATTATAGTTTTAGCTTTTATATTAGGTGTGTTATCTATTTTAAGTTAACCTATGTATATGATATGTGAGGTATGTTTTTCTATGCAATTATTCAATTTTTCCACATCATTTGTTGAAAAGACTTTTCTTTTCCCATTAAATTGTTTCGGTACCATTGTTGAAAATCAGTTGTACTGGGTAGAAACTGGATATAAATCTATTTGAACTCTCTTGTCTATATTTAATACCAATACTATACTCTCTTCATTATTATAGCTCTGAGCTTAGTCTTGAAGTCAAGTGACGCAGCTTTATTCTTTTTTTCTTTCTTTCTTTTTTTTTGTGTGTAGATACTGGAGACAAATATCTTTATTAAAGACACTACCAAAATTTTGGCAAACATTTCAAAACAGATTTGTAAACATTATGCTTCCCTTTTCTTTTTCTTTTTGAGACAGTCTCACTTTGTCACCCTTGGTAGAGTGCCATGGTGTTCTAGCTCACAACAACCTCAAACTCTTGGACTTAAGCTATTCTCTTGCCTCAACCTCCAGAGTAGCTGGGACTACAGGCCTACACCACAACGCCCAGCTATTTTTAGAGATGAGGTCTCACTCTGGCTCAAGCTGATCTCAAACCTGTGAGCTCAGGCAATCTCTCCAACTCAGCCTCCCAGAATGCTAGGATTACAGGTGTGAGCCACTGCACCTAGCTTAATGTTTCCCTTTCAACTGGCAACACTCTGAAAAGTCAATGCAATAAGACAACACAAACTTGAACTGACAGGTGCCACCCTCAAAATCTTTATATTTTTGACCACATAACTTATATTCTCACATGAAAAAACAAATGATAGTTTAACAGCGACAGATAAACTCCATGAAATGAAAGTTTGTGCTGGTTGATGAGATGTTAAATATGTCCATTCTTCTTTGTATTCCTGGCACCTAGGATGAAAAAAAAATCTTTAAATATACATCTCACATAGGTAATAGCTTCTTTGTATAACTCTCTTCAAAAAATACTTTATAGAAGTATATAAATAGGTTACCTACACATTTAATTTTATAATTAAAAAAACTCCCTAAATCTGTTATTTTCACATCAATTTTTGCCCAACATTAATAAAGTTGAAATGAACATGATTTTGAGTTTTACAAAAGAAGTAACATTTTCTTTTGGCGGGGGGAGGGCAGGGAGATAGAGCCTCAAGCTGTCACCCTGGGTAGAGTGCCATGGCATCATAGCTCATAGCAACCTCCAACTCCTGGGCTCAAGCAATTCTCCTGCCTCCGCCTCCCAAGTAGCTGGGACTACAGGTGTCCGCCACATCGCGCGGCTATTTTTTGGTTGCAACCGTCATTGTTGTTTGGTGGGCCCGGGCTGGATTCAAATCCATCAGCTCAGGTGTATGTGGCTGATGCCTTAGCTGCTTGAGCCACAGGCGCCGAGCCAGAAGTAGTATTTTCACAGGAAAAAGAAAAAACTTGTGGCGACACTCATCAGTGGTTTAACCTGAGTGTTTGGCCTACTGACAGTGGCAGCTTTTTCTCCTTCATGCACATTCATATCCACACCATCTCTGTACACAGACAGGCTGAGCACACTTTCTGATTCTGGTAGGCCACATAATGCTTCCCATTGCTCTAATCAAGTGGGAAGCAATATAGCTAATGATTAAGCACAACATGTACACAACTAACAAACACTTTTAAGGCAACCATTGCAAATAGGGGCTTAACTTGGCAGGGTGGATTTAATGTTCTAGATTGAGTGTGTAAATACGTATGTTTGTAACTCTATACACATATACATACTCATATACCTTTCTAATTTTTAGCCCTCCAAGACAATATTTTAATTTCTATGTGTGTTCTGTGCAAATTTCTAAATAGTCTACTATTTAAGGCAGAGTTCACATTAAGAAAGGTCAGAGGTCAGGCATGGTGATTTATGCCTGTAATCCCTGCACTCTGGGAGGCTGAGGTGGGCATACTGCTTGAGCTCACAAGTTTGTAACCAGAAGAGTAGAATGTGAACGTTTTAAAACAATAACTGAGAAAATGACATGAAGGCTGTATTGACCAGTTTGATGGAAGTATTTCTGATTGCATGTGAAAACCCCACACTGTACCCCAGAAGTGCATTAATGTACATAGTTACCATTCAATTAAAAAAAAAAAGTTTGTAACCAGCCTGAGTCTGAGCGACACCTCATCTCTAAAAAAAAAAACAGGCATTGTGGCGTGCACCTGTAGTCCCAGCTACTTGGGAGGCTGAGGCAAGAAAATCACTTAAGCCCAAGAGTTTGAGGTTGCTGTGAGCTGTGATGCCAGAGCACTCTACTGAGAGTGACATACTGAGACTCTGTCTCAAATAAAGAAAAAAAAAAAAAAGAAAAGAAAGAAAGAAAAAGGTCAGAAAATAGGCTTATGTTTATCCAAAAGCATTTCATCTTTCACATTAATGTTTTTTTTATTTCCTCAGACAGAGCCTCAAGCTGTCACCTTGGATAGAATGCTGTGACATCACAGGTCACAGCAACCTCCAACTCTTGGGCTCAAGCAATTCTCCTGCCTCCGTCTCCCAAGTAGCAGCTGGGACTATAGGCTCTCGCCACAACACCTGGTTATTTTTTATTGCAGCTATCATTGTTGTTTGGCAGGCCCAGGCTGGATTTGAACCCGCCAGCTCAGGTGTATGTGGCTGGCGCCTTAGCCACTTGAGCCACAGGTGCCGAGCCAATTAATGTTTATTTTTTAGACACAAACAACTTTTAAGTATAAACACTGGATCCTCGGTATCTAAAAAGTCATTTCTAATGACAAATACAAGATTTTGAGGGGAAAAAAAGGATTCAAAGTATAAACACTGCATCCCCAATACCTAAAAAAAAAATTCTATTAACAAACACAAGTCTTGAGGGTAAGAAAAAGGACCAGGAAAAGCAGCTTTGAAATGCAAGGAAGCAAAGTAAAATGGAAAAAAACTAAAGTAACTCATGCTTACTAATACTGAAACTTTTAACAGACAAAGTTTCATCTTTTTAGAATCTAGAGCAACTCATTTAGAATTTTATTTTTGAGGGTTTTTGCAGTTTTTGGCCAGGGCTGGGTTTGAACCCACCACCTCCAGCATATGGGGCTGGTGCCCTACTCTTTTGAGCCACAGGTGCCACCCTCATTTAGAATTTTAAATAAATAAACTTAAGTTCATTCACATCGTCTGATCTAAGCAGAGTTCCAGTGCCACAACTCTGGTTGTTGTTGGTGAAACTCTCGCATCAGTCCCTGATGTGAGCCAGTTTGCCATGAAGATACTCATGTCTGTATGCTTCCTCGTGATAATTGGGACCAAACTGCTTGATCTTCTGATATTCCTGCAAGACTTCATGAACAATCTGACACTCTTTTGAGCCCAGAGAAAGGTGCCTTCCCTGTCATCCAGTTTGACAAATCTTCCTGCTACACTCCCATCTGGTATGCAAAGCTCTGCATTCATCACACTCATAACCAAAATCATCCTGAAATCTGGCAAATGCAACTTTATTCTTAATTTCCGAGATTATAAAAGAACTATTTTTGGTCCTTTGTATTTTCTTATAAAATTTAGCATCAATATGTTAATACCAACCTCCTCAGTAAAAAGAAGGCTTTGAGGATTTGAATTGCAACTGCTTTTCACTTATAAATCAATTTTGAGGAGAATGCACATCTTAACAATATTGAGTCTTCCAATCCATAAATATTGTCTATCTCTCCTTTTATTTGTATCTTCTTTAATTTCTTTTACCAATGTTTTATAAAGATAATGCATATTTTGTTAAATGGATTCCTAAATATTTGATTTTTTTATGCTACTAAAACAGCATCAAATTAAGTGGTTTATTAATTTCATTTTCAATAGTTTGCTATAAATATATAGAAATACAATTGATTTTTGTATTTTAACTTTGTATTCTGTGACCTTGCATCAGTAGTTTTAAAAGTTCCTCATCTGAGGCAGCACCCATAGCTCAGTGGGTAGGGCGCCTTACACCAAGGCTGGTGGGTTTGAACCCTGCCCAGGCCAACTAAAACAACAACAACAACTGCAACAAAAAAATAGCCGGGCATTGTGGTGGGCGTCTGTAATCTCAGCTACTTGGGAGGCTGAGGCAGGAGAATCACTTAATCCCAAGGGTCGGAGGTTGCTGTGAGCTGTGACACCATGGTATTCTACCTATGGCGACAGCTTGAGAGTCTGTCTCAAAAAAAAAAAAAAAAAGTTCCTCACCTGAGCTCACATGTTTGAGAACAACCTGAGCCAGATAGCTGGGTGTTGTGGCAGGTACCTGCAGTCCCAGCTACTGGGGAGGCTGAGGCAAGAGAGTCGCTTGAGCTCAAGAGTCTGAGATTGCTATGAGCTGTGATGTCAGATCACTCTACCAGGGGCGACAAAGTGAGACTCTGTCTTAAAAAAAAAAAAGAGTTGCCATGATACAGAGGCAGCAGGGATAGTTATGGTTGGACATTGTGCAAAAAATTCTGAATAAGCAAAAGAAAGCAATCTATAAAAAGAAGAAGGTTCAGGGGCGGTGCCTATGGCTCAAAGGAGTAAGACGAGGCCCCATATGCTGGAGGTGGCAGGTTCAAACCCAGCCCTGGCCAAAAACTGCAAAAAGAAAAAGAAGAAGGTTCGGTTCAAATGTCATCTCTGTGTAACTTTCTGTGACACCCTTCTAGAAAGAAATAATACTCCCTTCTGAATGTTTTGAAGATATTATTTTAGTACTTACTGCTTTATGTTTTACTTTTTATGTCTCTTTTTAGGCTTTCTAAGTTAAGGACCACATCTCATGTATGTTTTTATCTCTAGCACATAGTTGGTATAGCACGTTGAATCAAATTAAATTTAATTGTATAGCTGTTAACACATTATGACTTCTGAAAATAAAAGTAATAAAAATTTTATTTTTTATTTTTTCCCCCTAGGCTTTTGAAGTTTAGCATAAGCCTTATTCCCCGTGGTATATGTCATCCAGTCTCTAGTGAAATTTTCCCCACTCTATCCAGGAATAAGTATGGAACTGGAGCAGTTAGCATTCAAGCTGGAAGTGCTTTGCTAGCCAAAGGTGGTATCTGCTTTATAGGGGACATGGCTTCACACAAAAAAGATAAACTTGAACAGCTTCAATCAGGTAAACTGTTTTTTTCAAATTAATTTTTACTTATTTAACCTATACTCTTCATCAGTCAAGCAGTTATTTAACAGTGAAGATAGTATTGCATATGTTTTAGGAATTGAGAAGTTATATTAAATGCCATTTTTCATTTCAGTTTTATAAATAAAAACAGGGGAAAAGGGGAATTTAAAGTGCAAATGTACCTTGCTAGCCTTGGGTGTTGTGCTAACACGTGAGTTTGTATTGGGCCACATTTATTTCCTTGTCTTGTCTTATTGCATTAGGACCTCCAGTACAATGTTGAAAAGTAGTATGAGAGGGGAATTCTTGCCTTGTTCCTGATCTTAGCAAGAAAGCTTAAATTTCTCTCCATTAAATATGATGTTAGTTGTACATTTTCCATAAATTTTCTTTATCACATTGAAGTTCTCCTCTATTCCTAAGTTGCTGAGAGTTTTAATCATGAATGGATATTGGATTTTGTCAAATTCTTTTCTGAACCTATTAATATGATCATTCTATTTATTTATTTAGTAAAGACAAAGTCTCACTTTATCACCCTTATGTACCATAGCGTCACAGCTCATAGCAACCTCCAGCTCTTGGGCTTAGGCGATTATCTTGCCTCAGCCTCCTGAGTAGCTGGGACTACAAGCACCCCCTACAATACCCAGCTATTTTTTTTGTTGTAGTTTGGCCGGGGCTGGGTTTGAACCCACCACCCTCAGTATATGGGACTGGTGCCCTACCCACTGAGCCACAGGCGCCACCCTAATATGATCATTTTAATATGATGATTTGTTTTTCCTTTAGCCTGTTAATGTGATAGATTGCATTGCTTATTTTTTTTTTTTTATTTTGCCGTTTTGGCCGGGGCTGGGCTTGACCCCGCCACCGCCGGTATATGCAGCCAGCACCCTACTCCTCGAGCCACAGGTGCTGCCCACATTACTTAATTTTTGAATATTGAACCAATCTTGCATACCTAGAATAAATCTCACTTGTGGTATATAATTCTCTTTATACATTGTTGGATTTGATTTGCTACTATTTTGTCAAGGATTTTCCATCTATGTTTAAGAGCAAATTTGCTCTATAGTTTTCTTTTTTCTTTTTCACAGCAGAGAAAGGGTTTATTCTGCAAAGTGCTAATAAAGACTAGCAAATTCTCTCAAGTCAGCCTTTCTGAGAATTGGAGGGACAGTTGTTTTTTTTTTTTTCAGGTTAACTGAGGGTACAAAGAATTAGGTTACAATGTTCCTATTTGTTAGGTAAAGTCTCTCTTACAGTTGTGTCCTGCCCCAAAAGAGATGTGCCATATACCCTAACACTGTGCCCATTAAGTGGGAGCACACCCATCCTCACCCTACTCCCCTGTTCCAACACCCCCCACCTTGAATTGATTTGAGTTTTTCTCTTATGTGGGCATGTATTAGATGTCTCCTGGGTTCATATTAGAATAGAGTATATTGGATTCTTGCTTCTCCATTCTTGTGATATTTTACTAAGAAGAATGTATTTCACTCCATTCAGGTTAATACAAAAGATGTAAAGTCTCCCTCTTTTTTTTTAGAGACTGTTAATACGAAAGATGTAAAGTCTCTGTCTTTTTTTTGTTGTTGTTGCCCTTGGTAGAGTGCCATGGCATCACAGCTCATAGCTACCTCCAGCTCTTGGGCTTAGGAGATTCTCTTGCCTCGACCTCCCTAGTAGCTGGGACTACAGGCGCCTGCCACAACACCTGGCTGTTTTTTTGTTGCAGTTTGGCTGGGGCCGGGTTTGAACCCACCACTCTCAGTACATGGGGCCAGTGCACTACTCACTGAGCCACAGGCGCTGCCCAGTCTCCCATCTTTTTGATGGCTGAATAGTATTCCATGGTATACATATACCCCAGCTTGTTAATCCATTCCCGGGTTGGAGGGCATTTAGGTTGTTTCCACATTTGGGTGGTTGTAAATTGATCTACAATAAACAATCTAGTGCAAATGTCCTTCTGGATGGATGCCCAGTAATGAGATTACAGGATCAAATATAGTTTTTTTTTTCTAATAATATCTTTGTCTTCTTTTGGTATTAGGGTAACCCTGGCTAGGCCAGTTATAGCTAACAAGAATGTGAACAGCCATGGACTGGGAAAAGAGCAATAAGGGCCTTGCCTTCTTGACATGTCGACATGAATATACAAGAGTGTTCAGAGTACACAGCATTTTGTTTCACCCTGCAGGAGAGGGCAGAAATAGGCCCATTCAAACAGGTCAACTGAATTTTGACCATAGCACTAAAGCCAGTCAATGGGAAACAAGTTTTTCAGTAACACTGGAACATCTGGGTACATATGTGGAAAAAATTAATCTTAGCCCATATCTCCCAAGTATACATAATAATTAATTTGAGATGGATCATAAACCTAAATGTAAAAACTAAAAATATAAAGCTTCTAGAGGAAAATATAAGTATCTTCATGACATTAAGGTAGACAAAGATTTCTCAGACAGAATTCAGATAGCACTAAATAAAAGAATTAATAGACTGAACAGTTGTATACATTAAAGGCCCCATTTAAAAAGTGCATAGCCTTAAAACATTCACATTCTACTCTTAGAAAGATTCACCTGTACCCCTATAAGGTAAACCTCAGAAGTAATCCCTCCAAACAAGAAAATGACATGAAGGCTGTGTTGACCAGTTGATGGAAGTATTTCAGATTGCATGTGAAAACCCCACACTGTACCCTAGAAGTGCATTAATGTACATAGTTACCGTTCAATAAAAAAAAAAAAGAAAAAAAAAAAGTGCATAGCCAAAGGTGGCACCTGTGGCTCAAAGGAGTAGGGCACTGGCCCCATATGCCGGAGGTGGCAGGTTCAAACCTAGCCCCAGCCAAAAAAAAAAAAAAAAAAGAACGGTGAATAGCCAAACAAACAAAAAGAAAATAATTGCAATAAATATATTGTATTTGCCAGAACATAAAAACAATTTCTATAAGTCAATAATATAAAAAATCAACAAAAAATTGACCAAAGACTTGAGTGATGATTTCTCACAGGAATATAGACAAGATGACCAATAAGCATATGAAAGGGTACTGAACATCAGTAGTTATGAGAGGAATGAAAATAAAAACCACAATGAGAGGGCGGCGCCTGTGGCCCAAAGGAGTAGGACGCTGGCCCCATATGCTGGAGGTGCCGGGTTCAAACCCAGCCCCAGCCAAAAACTACAAAAAAAAAACAACACAATGAGATACCAACATCAAATACTAGCAGAGCCAGCTTCATTAGTGTGGAACAAGTGCAGTTGCACAGAGGCCCTCCTCCTCCCACGGGAGCTTGGCATTTCGGTCAAAACTCTGCTATCACCATCCTCTATTGTTTTTTTTGGTAGGTAGTCAAAGATTTATTTAGGAGGAACTTAACATACAAAGCAGTCTTGTGCGGTGGCAAGACAAGGTAGATCTCCATGCTTGCAACTCAGCCCTGTCTAGTCTTTTATGCCATGCATGGAAAAAAAAGGGAAAGGGAAAATAAAAGAAAAAGTCACTCATGGCATGTTAAGCCATTTGGTTGCTTTTTTCTTTACTTTCTACTTAAAGGAATTGTTTGGGTTCCCAACATTCTTAAGTGTGCAAGGCGAGAGAGGAATGTTCTGGGCAGTAGCAATTATCTTGAGATAGTCCTCTGGTTGCTACATACTGTAACTCACTTTGTGGTCATGTACCCACAGTACATTTTTACAATGCCACAGAACCATTACCAGCTGTAGTCTTTACTGAGGGCAAAGGGAAATGCAGAAAAGTTCTTATTTTTGGAAAGTCACAAGGGTCAAGTGCAATGGTTTGTTACATATTGGGGTTTTGAGGAGCCTTATACAAACTCCACTTTACTCTTAACAGCAATATCACAAATCCTTCAATGTGCTTCACTCTGAAGAACTAATTTTTTTTTTAAGAACTAGCTAAATATTAAATTAGTACATTTTGATTTTCCTGCAAGCTCCAGTTTTTCCAGTATTTGCAGATTTTCCAACTCAAGTTATTTAGTGATGACTGCTTCTTTTGTACGCCAGCTGTAGCCTCCTAGATTTTCACTCCCCTGTTTCTTTCCACATCCACACAGATTCTAATCCATAAGTGGGAGCTAAACAATGGGTACACATGGTCATAAAGTGGTGTAAAGGACAATATATTTTTTAAAAATATATTTGTATCAGTCTTGTTTAACTCAAATTGTTAATATTTTGATCTTTTAACTTGTGTTTTATGAGGAAATCCAATGAGACAGTGCAGTAGAAGAGACACATACATGTGTGTATCTACTGTCTGTTGCTGCTCTTTATCATACAGCATTTATAATCACTATGCTGCATCTCTAACACTTTTTTTTTTTTTTTGGAGTTACACACACTTTTTTTTTTCTTGGAAACAGAGTCTTACTTTATTGCCCTCAATAGAGTGCTATGGCGTCATAGCTCACAGCAACTTCAAACTCTTGGACTTAAGCAATTCTCTTGCCTCAGCCTTCTGAGTAGGTGGGACTATACAGGTACCCACCACAACAACCAGCTATTTTTAGAGATGGGATCTTGTTTTTGCTCAGGCTGGCCTTAAACTTGTGAACTGAAGCAATTCACCCACCTCAGCATCCCAGAGTGTTAGGTTTACAGGCGTGAGCCACCGCTCCCAGCCTCTACCATACTTAATGTGTACTTGCTTTGATTGTTGCTAGACTCTTATGTTTCATGAGTACACTGCAATTCAGTGCTCATATTCCATATTAACACCTCTTCAGCTGAGTATGAGGGAGTTTTAATAGCCCTAAGCACCCATGCCTTCTGTTTGAACCAGACATACTTCTAAAAACGAAAGAAGGCTATGGCATTTTTAATAAACACAAATGACCAAGGAACCTTGTCGTAGTCTTTCTTACTTGGTTACTTCCCTGTATGTGCCTATTAATTGTAGTGAAAATGATGACACAGGAGGGAAGGGGAAAATAGGGCAACCCCATATTTCTTTTACTTTTCAGTCATTCCTTACTCATCAGAAAGCTATAAGGAGAGAGTTTTAGTGAAATGTGTGTCTATCAAGAAGTAAAAACTGGAAGAAGCACATTACCTGACTTCAAATTATACTACAGAGCTATAGTAACCAAAACTGCACGATACTGTCATAAAAATACACATATAGAGAACCCAGAAATAAATTCAAACATCTATAATGAACTTATCTTTTTTTATTTTTTTTTTCATAGTTTTTGGCCGGGGCTAGGTTTGAATCTGCCACCTCCGGCATATGGGTCTTGCACTCTACTCCTTTGAGCCACAGGCGCCGCCCTAATGAACTTATCTTTAACAAAGTTGCCAAGAGCATGCATTGGGGAAAAGATAGTCTCTTAGTAAATGTTGCTGGGAAAACTGGGATATCCATATACAGAAAAATGAAATTTAGATTCTTATGTCTCATCATATACAAAAATCAAATCAAAACATATTAAAGACTTAAAGCAAGGACCTGAAACTATGAAACTACTAAAAGAAAACATTGGGAAAATGTTTCAGGAAGTTGGTCTGGGCAATAACTTCTTGAGTAATACCCCCAAAACACAGGCAATTCTTGGGAGCAGGACACATTTATAAGAGGGACTCTATCTAACAAATGCAATCAGTGTAACCTAGTTCTTTGTACTCTCAATGAATCCCAAATAATTATTTAAAAAAAAAAATCTTCCACACAGCACAGGAAACCAATGAACAAAGTGACAACCCACAGAATGGGAGAAAATATTTTGCAAACTACACATCTGACAAGGGATTAATAGCTAAAATATATGAAGAACCCCAACAACTCAATTGGGAAAAATCAAATAATCCAATTTGAAAATGAATGAAGGCTCTGAATTGCTATTTCTCAGAAGACATACAAATAACAAATGAAAAATGCTCAATATCATTAGTCATCAAAGAAATGCAAATCAAAACTAAAGTGAGATATCACCTCACCCCAGTTAAAATGGCTTTTTGCAAAGTGACAGGCAATAATGAATGATGGTGAGGATGTGGAGAAAGGGGAACCCAACAGGGGAACACTGTTGGATTCCACACATAGTGCACTTGTGTACTTGCTTTGATTATTGCTGGACTCTCACAGACACACATGAGAGAAAATATCAAACCCAAGAAAGGAGAGAAGGGGAGGGGATTCACTAGCTTCCCACCCAAAAGGGACAATGCATAGATATATGGCACACTCCCTGGGAGTAGGACACAACAACTCTGATTTTTATTTGTCATGTGTGTTTCCAAGGCCCTGTGGATACAAAAATCTGAAAATGCTCAAGTCACTTATATAAAATGGCATACTATTTACATATAACCTACACACATCCTCCTGTATACTTTAAATCATTCTATTTATTATTTTTATTTTATTTTATTTATTTATTTATTTTAATTTGTTTTTTATTAGATCATAATTGTGTGCATTAATTCTCTCATAGGATACAGTGTGTTACTTCTTTTTTTCTTTTTTTTTTGAGATGGAGCCTCAAGCTATCCCCTGGGTAGAGTGCCATGGCATCACGCTCACAGCAGCCTCCAACTCCTGGGCTCAAGCGAGTCTCCTGTCTC